ATGGCAAAGCTGTAGATGCAGCCTCTCCAGGCATCCCAGTGGAAATCATGGGCTGGAAGGAAGTCCCTTCGGCAGGAGATGAAATCCTCGAAGTAGAATCTGAGGTATGGAAAGAACTGTTTAATGGAGAATTTGCACTGCAGTAAGGTGGATGGGAAGGAGCTGACGTAAAAATAAGCGAGAGCTTTCATTCTAAGTTACCCAGATAATCTGATGAAAGATGAAGGCTGAGCATGGGTATTAAAGAGACCTGAGCTAGGTGTTCTGTGAGCGAAATGAGGATTTGCCTCTTGCCTCTTTCTTTTTGGCTGCCCCCACTTTTCCCTGCCAGACTGTCCTCTCCTCATGTCCGTGCATCCAGATTAACCTGCGTTACCATTACATGAAGAAAGCAGGCTGCTGTGGGAATAAAAGATGAGTCACCTTCAGTTCATGCTTTTTCTTATCATCATCTTGCTGTCCTCCATGGTTTGTTTGCAATGACTGCAGTCCTGAATGGCTTCTGCTGGGGTAATCTGGGATATGTTCTAAGATGTCCCTTTTCTAAAGGCGCAGAAGACTTTTCTCTTTTATGTGATCACACTATCACCTTACCTGGAGAACAGTCGAGTACTTAATGGTATCAGTGTTTTAATTTTAGAATGAGAGAACTAGTTTCTGAGAAAAGAATATGCATCAAATATAGCTTGAAATAGGTGTTCTGAGAGCTGGACAAATACCACATGAAAGAATCAACAATTATTTATTCTCTTGTGCAATACAGAGATACTGTAAAAACAGGCCTTGAGTCATGTTGTTGTATCCCCAGGAGGAAGCTGTTGTGCTCATTCTCTGCCATCCTTGCAGCAAAATCTATTGTTAAATGTAAAAGGCAACGAGTGAGCCTGTGGAGAAGATGCAAAATGATGAAACTGCATTAATGTGCATTAATGTGGACTTTTCCGAGGCAGTGCTCTGAAAGGTAATGTTTCTGTCTCTTCCTGCCCAGCAAAGAGCGCATGAAGTTGTGGCTTGGAGAACCTATGTTGAACAACAGGAGAGGATGAAAAAGGATGTGGAAGTTATTGAAGCAAAGCAAAAGGAACACAGGATGGAATATGAGAAGAAGCAACAGAAGCTAGCCCATCTGACCTGGAGACAGAGGAAGGCAGAGCTGTACAAGGCTAATAAGCATCTAATGTTTTCAAAGCCTAAAGAGAGAACAGAGATGGACAAAAACGTGCTGTCAGTAATTGTTAAAGGTGCTGTCCTGTTCTGTTTGCGGTGCCATTGTTTTTGTGCTTCTCAAATGCTCAGTCTGAAGCATAGCTCTAAACTACTAACAAAATGTATGTTACTGGAAGTTTGATCAATTTAAAACTGAACAGATTATTGAACCTCCCTCAGTAAGGGGAGGGGTGTTGGAAAACATCCAGTGGTCAGAAGGATGCACCTCTGGCAGGGCCAAAGCAACAGGAAAATTTGAGCCCAACCCCTTTACCCATTAATTCCTGAGTAAAACCCACACAAGTGCCTCTATGTATGTAAATTTTAAATATAGAGCTTGTATTTTTATATATATATAAGCAGCAACACTGCATCAGCACAATGGAGGACAAGAGGAACTTATTTTGACCTCACATTTAGTTATATACAAGCAATTACCTCTTGTCCTATTCTAATTATTCAGTTCATTTTTGGAATTAATAGGCTTGTTAGATGGGTTTTAACATACTACTGAAAAGATGTCAAAAGACTTTATATTGCATAGTCTGGAGTTGTCATTCCCTTAGTTGTACTTCAGTGTTTCTTCGATGTATACCAAGTGAGCAGTACTACCATTTACACACGCAGGTGATGTGGATGGATCTGTTGAAGCTATTCTGAACATTCTGGACAGCTACGATGCTGAGGATGAATGTAAATTGGATATCATTCATTTTGGAATGGGAGATATCAGTGAAACTGATATAAGTCTTGCTGAAGCATTTAATGGTGAGTGTATGTTTAAAAATCACTTTACAGCTGGTACAAACTCTGTATTGAAATGGGTAGGTCTCTTTCTGGTTTTGTTTTCCCAATAATAATTAGCAGCACTAAGGTAAGCTTATGTGTATCTTAAAAATGTTTCCTTTAAGATCAAGCAGTAGTGCAGGCAGGAGGTCTCATGAAAATGGAAGGAGTCTGACAAGCTGTTGACAGTAGCTGAATTGTTAAAACTCTTGATTCTTCCCTCATTCAGGTTGCTTTATGATGCTCAAACAGGGCAAAGCCAGAAGTAGTGTAGAAGAGAATTACCTTTAGCTCATGGAGGTCATTGCAAAGACTTTGTCAGTAGTTGTTCCTGTTCATACCCTGTGGTATGGTTATTAAGTCAAGAGAGGTTCTCCTCTCCCCTACTCTGCCCTGGTGAGGCCACATCTGGAATATTGTGTCCAGTTCTGGGCCCCACAGTTCAAGAAGGACAGGGAACTGCTTGAGAGAGTCCAGCACAGGGCCACCAAGATGATTAAGGGAGTGGAGCATCTCCCTTATGAGGAAAGGCTGAGGGAGCTGGGTCTCTTTAGCTTGGAGGAGACTGAGGGGAGACCTAATTAATGTTTATAAATATGTTAAGGGCGAATGTCAGGAGGATGGAGCCAGGCTCTTCTCAGTGATGTCCAATGGTAGGACAAGGAGCAATGGGTGTGAGCTGGAACACAGGAGGTTCTGCTTAAACTTGAGAAGAAACTTCTTTACAGTGAGGGTGTCAGAGCACTGGGACAGGCTGCCCAGGGAGGTTGTGGAGTCTCCTTCTCTGGAGACATTCAAGACCCGCCTGGATGCCTTCCTGTGTGATCTCATTTAGGTTCCTGCTCTGGCAGGGGGATTGGACTGGATGATCTTTCGAGGTCCCTTCCCATCCCTGACATTCTGTGATTCTTACGTGCTGTAGGTGTGGGGTCGTTGGACCTGTCATAGTCCACAGGTGAATGAGAATGATTTAGAGTTCACTTCCAGCTTAATTTGGACAATCAAATTGTTTTTCCGTCCTGTACATGAGCTGTGTGTAAGCATCAGTTTCTGCTTGGATGCCTCCGGTTCTGTCATCAGGGACCTTTCTACAAGGGGTTTTTTGAGCCATGTGTTTTCGCTCAAGGTTAGTAGCAGTTGATGTGCAATAGTGGAAGTACGTGGTCCCTCCTTAAATGTGAAGCAGGAGTAGAATGTTATTTCTTGTATTGCTGACTGCTAATTCTGCCCTGTGCGAGTTCAGCATTACAGAACAGACACAGCAGATGCTTTCGCTTACTGCTTAAAGACTGATCTCTTGTAACTGTTGTTACTTACCAGGTGTTGTATTTGGATTCAGTGTGAAAGCCAATGAAAGCATTAAACGGCTGGCTGCTAAAAAGGGAATAAAAATTAAGCTTCATAATGTCATCTACAAACTTATTGAAGACTTGAAAGAAGAGCTAAATAGCAGGCTACCCCCATCTGTGGTGGAGAATACAGTAGGTGAGTTCTCAATGACTGTTAAATTTTTTGTTTGCATTGTTGCCTGAAGTTTATTCTCCAGTTAAGTGTTCCTGTTGTGTCAAATATTTGATATTCATCTGTCACTGCTTTTCTCTTCATAAGCTTTACTTTTTTCTTTTAGGGGAAGCTTCTGTTCTCAACACTTTCTCTGTAACAGTAGGAAAAAACAAAGTTCCAGTAGCTGGATGCAGAGTACAGAAGGGGCTCCTAGACAAAAAAATGAAATTTAAGTTAATCCATAACAGAGACGTTATTTGGAAAGGTAAGTGTAATTGCCACAAAATGTGTGTTAGACACTGCTAGTTCCTGTGAAGTTAGTGCAAAATGTACATGTCTGATCCTAGGGAAGTCCCATGTGCTACAGAGGATGGAGAAAAGCTGCAGAGTGTCACTGTAGTGTTACCCAGACCTTTTTCTATAACCACCCACTCTGGTAGGAAAGCAGTAGCATGACAGGGTTTACCTGCTGAAAAGGACTGATGTCTGTTGACTTCAGTTAGCTATGAGTGCTCACTACCCCTATGTTTTCTTGCTTTCATTTTGTAGCTACAAGGTGAAATATTAATTATGTAACAAGAGCAAATCAGAACACTTCAAGGCCCTGATGGTAGTGGGCTCTCTTTCTTTGACACACTTTCTCTTTGTAGGATCTTTATCATCACTGAAGCATCATAAAGATGATGTCCAGGTAATAAAAATGGGTATGGATTGTGGATTAAGTTTGGACAAGGATATAGAATTCAATATTGGAGATGAAATTATCTGTTATGAAGAAAAAGAAGTTCAACAGACAACTTCATGGGATCCAGGATTTTAAGATATATTTGAATACATTAACACTAAAGGACATGTATTATTCCTGGCTCACCTTGAACTCAACATTAAATGAACTTTCAGAGATGCACATGTGCTTCTTTGTTTATCTCTTTCTATAACAATGTTCTGCTTTTAAATCTTGTCAAGCAACCAGCTTACCTCACTGGAACACGGGATCACCTACAATTAATTGCAAGCACTTCAAGTGTGTAAAAACCATCATGGTATAAATATTTCTAATGCCTGTCTATTGGTTCCAAAATAGCCGAGCCATCTTCCTTTCCCCCCTCAGTGCTGCTATACAGTTTTTCAGGATGTTGTCTGCATTTTGCTAGCAGGACTCTACTACCCTTTTCTCTGGCACTGATCCACTTGTAGACATGACTTCGAACCTTTGATCTTTTTTTCTGGAGTAGAACTACTGCACTGTCTCCTCCTCTCACTTCTAAGGTTAGCTAGAGTGTTGTTTTGTTTGGTTGGCTTTTTTTTCTGCCATTCCTACCCATTATGTTCTTTGAAGGAGACAACTAACCAAAACCACTCTTAAAGAAGTTGCTGCTTCAGTTCTAGAGTCAAAGTATTTCATCCCAGTTGGCAGTGAACATCCAAAGTTTCACAGATTTTTCTTGTTTATCAGCAGAGAGGAAATACAGTGCCATAGGAAGCAAAAATAAATCTGTAAACAGTACAGAACTTCAGATTTTTATTGTCTGGTACATTTATTTGTCTTCTGGTTTATTGAAGCAGTATGTCAGACAGCACTTGCCACAATAGTGTCTGTCAAAGTGACTAGCCATGAAGACTCCTGCTCCACACTCCTCAGAGGGGCACTCCCGGCGCAGCCGACTGATCTTGCCATTCTCGTCCACCTGGGAAGGGCAAAGAGGCAACATCTCATACATAGTCACAACCTTTTACAGCAATAATAATTTTGAGTATTTTTCTTTGGCAAAGTAGTTTTTGTGATAGTTACTACATCAAACTTCTTGAAGCAAAGTTGCAAGTGCCCAATTACAAGAGTTTCATCTGTTTAACAGGTGGGATATTTACAAATAGAAGGACTTTAAATGTGCCAGGCTACATGCTAGAGGCTTCATGTCCTAAGTTTTCATCAGATTTCTCCTAGAGTTAGTTCCACATACCTTGTAGTACTTGAGCACTGCAAGCTTAACCTTCTTTCTCTTATGCTTGTTCTTCTTGGGAGTAGTGTAAGACTTCTTCTTTCTTTTCTTGGCACCACCACGAAGTCTCAGCACAAGGTGAAGAGTTGATTCCTATTTTTAAAACACAAGATAAAGCTTCAAAATGCTTTCTCAAAACAAGAGCAGCATTTAAACAGGCTTTTCTCCTTTGATCTACAGAAAGTACTGAAGTACCAGATTTCAAGCTACAGCCAATAAGGAAGGAAAGCTCTAAAACGATTTTTTTGCTATTAAGTCTGCAAATGAACAGGCTCCAGAAAACTGTAGGCCAAAAAGATTCAATTATTAGAAAGTCTGTTGTGACTACGTTCTTCAATTCTACCTGGAAGTGCAGAAGAGTTTTGTGTTGTTGGTGACAGCTATTTGTTGCTGAAAATAATAATTTTATCTTTCTGGTGCTAGTACTGCTGCCTGCCTGGCCTCACCATCAGGTTAATCTGGCAGAAGTGAGCAGCATTTTTCACATTAGCCCCCTGAAGTAGCTCACCACAGCTTGCCAGGGCAGACAAAAGGGAAGCACTAGAAGTGGAAGCTGGTAGAACTGTTTTCTTCTGACCTGAAACTATAAGACTGGGCTGCAGCAACTGTCAGTTCTAGTCCTAGCATCACTACTTCCCCAGTCAGAAGTGCTACCCACCCATAAACCAACTGAATTAGTTTGAAGCATTTCTTAGGCCCAAGAGCAAAGGTCAGTCTGCTCCTGCAGTGCCAGCTCGAGGTTACTACAACGCTCTGTTCAGCCCTTCGTACTCACTTTTTGAATATTGTAGTCAGACAGTGTGCGTCCATCTTCTAGCTGCTTACCAGCAAAAATCAGTCGCTGCTGATCAGGAGGAATGCCTAACGGTGACATAAATCAAGATTAAATGAGCAATGTGAGCTATCATGTTCTATAATAAAACAGGTTGCTGCAGACAATCACATCTGCAGAAGACATACATCAGTCCAACAGAGAAGCGAGTATTAAGTGCATTGTGAGCTTACCTTCCTTATCCTGGATCTTGGCTTTTACATTTTCTATAGTATCAGAAGGCTCAACCTATTATGAACCAAAACAAGAGAACGAAAACGCGTTTTGCCATTTAATTCACCCAGAAGAGCCGAAGAACCACGAGGCGCTTCAGACACACCGCCTATGCTGTCACGGCCATTTCGGCTCCCACGGGGCAGCCAGCTCCGGGCCGGCCTGGCAAGCGGGATGCGCAATGGCGCGGGCAGCGGTGGGGCCCGCTTTTCTCCGGGCATCCTGACATTTCCCGCACCAAAAG